CTGTTGTCGTATTAGGCAGGGTACGAAGTTTAAAGAAAGTCAACTCGTAACACAGCGCAGGTCGAAAGACGGTGACAGCGAGGAGAGCGCGAGGATGAGGGAGCGACAATGGCAAGACGACAGGCTCCGTGGCGGCTAACAGAGGTGCCATAAAGGGGCTTCATGGTGCCATAGTAGACCGCGCCATCTAACCGTTGCTGATGACGCGATCACCAAGACATGCGACAAAAGTGTCCAGCGGTAACATCTATAGCAATAAAGCCCTGCATTAACGGAGGCCTGTTTGTGGTGGCTTTTGTGGAACTGGTTGGCGGCCCAGTCGCGCTACGCTAAGTTCGTGCTGGTAATGGGAAATGGGCTGCCCGAAATCGTCCACGTCAGTCGCGCTGATTACGGCGTAGTATGCAACTGTGCATACGTACGAACACGTCTTTCTCAAGATCTTTGCCTGAACTGTTCGCAAGATGAAAATAAAAGGGTGTTTCTCCAAACAATTTACGGTTTTCGGCGAGAAACGAAGGTAGTGGGTCAAATAGGCGTGAACACGTGAGAAAAGTGGACTCCAAAAGATTACACTTCAGTGCAAAATAATCCGTAGAAGCCATCGGCTGTAAACTCCGCCCACCGCCGGCGGCTGCCATTTTGCAATGGCGTGCGTGACGTCACAAGCCGCAATAGCAGTGCCGTCGTCTGCTACCAAATAGCCCCTTCCACCCGCGGTCAGTCTGTTCCCTGTTTTGCGAGTGTCGCGAGCCACGTGGTTCGCACGTGTCAGTGTGTTGCTAGTTTTGAGGCGTGTTACCGCTACCATTGCCAAGTTGTCCGCCACATCATTGCCTCACGATTACGGCAGTGGTTCATCGAGCAGCAAAAGTGGCGACGACGTCGTCTATGGCGACGACGTCGTCTATGCTGCATATTTTCACTTCGACCCCATCGCCACCAACTCAAGTGACGATGAAAGCATCAAAAACGGGGTGAACCTAAATGCCGACGAGATTATAGGCGTTGTGAAAGACGTTGCATACGAACCTCCACAATGATAAGCAGCTTTATTTCAAGAATGCCAGGTTGACAAGCGACCTTGGAATTCGGGAGTCTGTCGACGCTGCATTCGCGAGCAAGTGTTACTTCGCGCGATGATATTGGCAAAGCAGGCAGATTTTTGTTTGCTATCATACGTGTATGCACGACTTTCGGCGCTGAACATAATGGATAAGTGGTCCTAACAATGCTGCTCGTTGAGACGGTTGTTTTTCCATCAGCTACTGAGTACGGCATATGTGAACACTAGCCAAAGCGAATGACTGGTCCGTGTGGCGTTATAGGGTTACTAACAATATACGATTTGGCCAAATTAAGCTCTGCTATAACTCTGTCGATTGCATTCGGTTCCGGTAAAAAATAGCAAGTGTGACGCTCAACCATGGCACTGCCTGCGGGTAGTTTCAATCAATATTTATCCGTATACTGGGAAAGAGCTTACGCGATGCAGATTCACAGGACACGTTTTGAGTTGAAACAGATTGAGAAAAACTGTTTGCTGCAAGTACCAGCGCTACATGGGTGGTATTGTTTTAACCGCTGCAGGTCATTTAGCTCCAGTGGCAAATTGAGCAACGCAGAGACAGCTCTATCTCAAGCGCAGCTGACCACGGAACACGATCATTCTCCGAAATGCAGACTGTGCAGCGGTTCACCCAGCAAGCGGCTCATTACGTCACGACTGGCCTACTCTCAAGCCGTTCGCTCGATTATTGAAATAATCCATTATAAGTTAGCGGCACGACCAAATGCGCTAACATCTTGTTAGCTTGTCTGTGAATGTACAAGTATCAACCCACACAAAATAGATGATTGTCGAAAGGCGGGTGTGACTTCAACAGCTGCGCTCAGAATTCGCATTAGGCTTTATCGTGATATTTAGTGATGTGTTCGCTGCAACTTTTCCGAATTTATAAATGTGGGCCCAGCCGCGCTGGTCTGGTGGATAAAGTACTCGGCTGCTGGCCCGCAGGTCACGGGATTGAATGCCAACTGCGGCAGCCGCATTTTCGATGAAGGCGAATATGCCATAGGCCCGTGTGCTCAGATTTGGGTGCACGATAAAGAACCCCAGGTGGTCGAAATTTCCGGAGCTCTCCACCATGGCATCCCACATAATCATATGGTGGTCTTATGACGTCTAACCACACACACACACACACACACACACACACACACACACACACACACGCACACGCACACGCACACGCACACGCACACGCACACACACACACACACACACACACACACACACATACACACATACATACATACATATACACATATATATATATATATATATATATATATATATATATATATATATATAATAACTCATCCCTTCATCAGGGGATGAGTTATATATATAACTCATCCCCTGATGAAGGGAGGTCCCTCCCGAAACTGTTGGGAAATAAATATATTTATCCTTGTTGACAACGCTCCCGTTGTGCCATATCCCATACCTTCACGAAGACTAACTGGCCCATTGAATTATTACTCCCACTATATATATATATATATATATATATATATATATATATATATATATATATATATATATATATATATATATATATATATATATCAATTTACAAATCTGCCACGTTATGTTGTGATAATATCTACGCTCACAAAAGTGCTAAATTTTCAATGAAGAGAATCTGAGGGGCCGCCTAGACTTATGATTTCATACTTCGTCTACCGGATATTTCGTTTTTCCGTATTATACGCTTCCTGGTTAGTAATTAAGAGTGACATACGTTCTACCGGAAACGTTTTTTTTTTCGCAAGAAAACTTAAGACGCAGGCGAGAGCTTCATTGGACATTAAAGTAATCTCCAGAAAATTTCGTTATCAAGAGGGCAACAGGTTCTAGAGAATCCACTCACTCCAGTAATCAAGGCGGCCTGATACAAAGGTCGTCTCTCGTGCTTGGAAGCCGGCTAAGTGGCTTCAATTCAGCGAATTCTTCAAATGAGAATCTCATTAAGCCCTCCGATGCGAGGGTGCCTGAGTGGCTTTCAATGGATCCTTCGCGTCGCCAGCGAATGATTCGTGCTAGAAGGACAATATCTTCTCGGCCTGCCCTTAGGCGCATGATAGATGCCAAAGTATCTCGTCTTTCTGGGGCGTAATTATGAGGCGCCTCGCAAATGTGCTTTGGCCGTGGGATTATTACAATACGAAAGCGTGCTACGTCACTGTATGTATATATCTACTGTCCACGGAGTGGTCTGTACTTCCCAGTCCGATATCCTATATATGTAATCATATATATGGCAGCACGGCCTGAGAACAATACGAACGCTATTATTAGTTGCAAGGCAGCCAGACAAAGATTGTATACGGGACATATTCTGGCGCAACATCTTCGAACAGTCCTACGATGCACTTTCTTGTTGCATGCTATGCAGTTCTTTTGGAACGTTTCGCATGCTTATTTCCATGAACTCTTCGTAAAGAGTACAAGGCGTAAATAGCTTACAAAAATATCGATTCACAGGGACATGCTTTTAAATGCAGTTTCTTTTTCTGCGTGATGATTACACATATCAGTGGTGTAGCCAGAAATATTTTTTCGGGGATGCGTGAGCAGGGGCCTTAGCCGTCCTTTAGTATACATGTCCATGGGTATGTTTGTAAAAATTGAAAAGTTTCAAGGACGTTATAACCACCCCCCTCCATCTTCCGCCTCACCATTGACATGAATTCTGCATTGTTATGGGGGTAAACATCAGCAGTTCTCGAAGCCGTAAAGAAAAAAAAGAGGTATGAGTGAGATGGGGAGATGAGGCTGTCAAACCAGAAGGGTCTTACAGACATTGTAAAACTTCTCAAAATGTTATTAAGTACAGGTGCAAAAATGATAGATTATCACGAAGAATAAAACGAATGATATTGTTACGGGATACCAGAGAAGGACGACGACGAAGGTCTGAGCGGAAGGTGTGTGAACCGCAGCAGCGTTGTACGCCGAGCGAATGCGTACAACGCTGTTGCACCTTCCACTCAGCCTTTCGTCGTCGTCCTTCTCTGGTATCTACTCATCCCGTAACAATATGCTATTACCTAGAAGTCAGACTTGTGGGCATTTTGAAGAGTGAAAAGCTTATTTAGTGTCGTATCTGGTGAATGTGGCGCGCTGCAACAGCATTTCCGGCGTATTTACACGTCGTTCAGCTATACCGTGGTGCACCTTCAGTCGTTGAAGTGTTTTTTTTTTTATTAGTACAAGTATAGTTTTCACGACAGCAAGGACGACCCATGGTGACCACTGTTTTTTCAACATGGAGACGCTAGTTTTGTCGTTTGCAGGCCCCTCATTAGTGTGGTCAGCCTCTATATGCTTGAACAAACGTGTTTCCAATGGAAATGAAACAATTCTGTTATGTCTTTGCATGTCCGCTCATTTAACTTGTTTTGTTTAGTGGACTCGATTGAATGACTTGTATCTGACTGCATAAAATGCAGCATGTGTCGTTTTATCACTTCATTTATTGGCTGCTTCTTCACGTTCACAAAATGAGTTCTGTTGATAGAACGTTCTTTTATACTACTGAATTCTATCCTCCGTTGATCTTTAGGCAATTTATTGTTCCTCACAAATTCATTGGCGGAATAGTTGCGAACATTTTCAGTTTAATAGCAATAAATCAGATACCGTTTACGTCTGCTGGTTTAATAAGGGAGTCTTCACAATCGGGCTGCTATTCTTTTTGTGTGTGTATGTGTGTGTGTTTGTGTAAGTCACAATAAAAAAAACAAAATTTGAGTAATGAAACGAACTTTAGCAATACTTTTTTCAGAGACTTGCAGTAACCGGAGAAACATGCATATTAGCAACGAGCTTAGAGGGGCGCGCTCGCCTTGCCTACGCAGACCCTAACTAGAGCGCGCTCGTGGCTAATATAGATTTTCCGTTTCTTCTCTTTTTCTCAACATTTTCAGCTTCTCTACTCGATCATCATGGTGGCAGGAAGCTTTCACGTGCACACGGTCATCGAACATCCCGGTGAGTGAACATGCCGTCATGAAAAGGTCATTCTTAATCAATGCATGGTTGGTAAGTCAGTCAACAAACTTTGTTGAAGTTCTAAGAATCTACAGAGTCGTAGACACAGCTTAAAAAAACGAGGAATGCTTGTTATGAAGTGCCACATAACATGAGAGCGTACGCAAGTTCGTCATATATAAGCCTAAGCAATAGCTATGGACTAGCACTTCTTGCGATGCACTTTCAGTGGTGCCTAATAATGTTGAAGATAACCATTTTCATTGACGCCGTTTCAAAACGGGGTCGTCAGCAGTTGTCACGTAGCCTGTATTTACAGTAGGATGTTATCCCATCGTATTATCTTTTATCGCCTCACTTTTTTCATTTGTTGGTATATATCTTTGTTTTTGTAAAATGCATTGCTATTTGGGCTCTCAGTCATAAAAACTGGTTTTACTACATCTTTCCCACCTTTTCTTTCATCAATATTCTAACGTTATCTCATGTTTACATCTACTGCTGACTACTTAACATTTACATCTTCTTTAAAAAGCAGGCTCTCTGAAGAGCGCATGCCTTTTACTAGTATCGAGTGAATATTCTGGCATTCCAATATTTGAATAAGTCAGGCACTCCTCTTCAAGTCAGTGAAAATTCGACTGGTGTGAGTGAATATTTAGAAAAAAAAAAGGAGAAATGGAAGATTGCATGCTTGTAGGATACGACGCAATTATCTGTTTCGTCTGTCTTTTTTTTTTTGCCTTTTAGCTGATCTAATTTGCGTTGGTTATGAACTAATCAGCTAATTCTAATACAATTCCGAGTTTTTGTTGCTTTTGCAGCAGGCACATGGCTATGCTGTCGTAAACTTTTGCTTCGGTGTGTTTTTGTGCTCAAGCTGACAGGTTGGGCTTGAAGTAGCAATGTTTCATTACTTTAACTCTTCATTGAGCGATTCGCACCATGTATTGATATCGAGGGAGGAGGCGGTGGGGGGAAGGGGGAATCCAGTGCTTTTAATGGAAACTGTGCTGTATACAAAACGTCAGGGACGAAGCTTTTTTTTTTTGTTGGTGCTCCGCAAGCCTCGCGCAACGCAGGCAGGCAAAATAACAGCGAAGAACCAAATGTGAACAAGCACAATTTCAGGCTGTGGTGATATGACAGTGTCGTTGGTGATATTTGTGGCATTTATAGAGGAAACATTAGTTCGCTCTTTTATTTGTTTATTTGTATATTTATTCCTAAGTGCCAAGTCTTAACTCCTGATAGCTCCAAGCATGAAGACAAAACATAGTGTTATCATGCTAAGTATCTGTTCGAAATATTTATCCGCGTTGCATGGGCCAGACAAGAACGAATTTCGGGCCACAAAGAAAATAATGATGCAAAAATATATGTTAAGGGAAATAGCATGCGCAAGAAGCTGTGCTGATCCAACTTGTACGTGGCACAGCTGGGATTTTAGTTTTGAGTCATTTTCCAGCGTGAAGCAATCCTGCAATCTTCCACGCGTTTTTCATCTTAGCGCACATTCTGACAAAAGGAGGGCGGAATGCTCTGTGGAAAACGAATCAAAATAGCCTCCCACTAACGCGTTCAAGCATTATGCGGCATTAGGAAGCAGGCTGACTTATGAGAGAATGCCAATTCGTTCCAAAAGAGCCCCAGTTTTTAGGATCGGCGATATCTAGAGGCACAGTTGATTTCCGCAAGGATCCCTGCATCAACGTATCTTCTCTGGAAACGTTGAGCTTGCGAGCTGCAACAGAAAACACGCTTTCTTGGCACACTAAACGCTCGCTTCTTATTCGCAAGTGCAAAATCATGGCGTTTCGCACCACAGCAACGACTAACACCAGTGGAGGAATGAATATACTATAGGACAATGAGGATGTCATAACGATAGTTGGAATGGTAAAATTTAGGCTCGAAGCTACTTTGAAGCAAATAGTTTTCAATTGAACGCGAATAGTCGATATCGCACACTAAAAAGAAATGTGAGCACAATTGTTGTGAATAAACTCATCTGCAAAATATTTTTTTTTTGAAATTTGAACAATGTATGCGCAAATGTCATTCTTTTGGATTCAAAGAAAAGTGTAAGCAACTTTGAAAATGGGTTGACATTTGGTAAGATGCAAGTGATAAGCTGTGTACTACGTTAGGTTTTAAAACTTACTATACTTAGAGCACGTAAGCCGGTATGGCAAGCTTTTGAACTTAATAAATTACGAAATGATGTAAGGCGAATATATTCGTTTCACTTTGAAGCGGAAACTGAATTCAGTGTGAAATTTTTGTTTGAACAGAAGTATTCACAATACAGCATATTTTCACTGCAGTGAAACTATCTTTGCAGGTTGTTTACATATCGACAATAGAAACCTTTTCATTCCTTCCAGATGCTTCAAAATTTCGAATTTTTAATTTTTGAATCTAAGCGATTTAGAGTGCTGTAATAGTGGTGTAATACCAATCAAGAAGGGTGTAAGGAAGGGGGACACAATCTCCCCAATGCTATTTGCCGCGTGCTTACAGGAGGTTTCCAGAAGCCTAGAATGGAAACAGTTAGGGATACGATTTAATGGAGAGTACCTTAGCAACCTGCGCTTCGCCGATGACATTGCATTGCTGAGTAACTCAGGGGACGAATTGCAACTCATGATTACAGAGTTAGACAAGAAGAGAAGAAAGGTGGATCTTAAAATTAATCTGCAGAAAACGAAAGTACTGTACAACAACCTCGGAAAAGAGCAGCGCTTCGAGATAGGTAATAGTGCACTTCAAGTTGTAAAAGACTGTCTATTTAGGTAGGGCATGTAATAACGGCAGAGCCGAACCACGAGATTGAAGTAACTAGAAGAATAAGAATGGGGTGGAGCACATTTGGCAAGCACTCTCAAATTATGACAGGTAGATTGCCACTATCCCTCAAGAGGAATGTATATAACAGCTGTATCTTGCCAGTACTTAGCTACGGAGCAGAAACCTGGAGACTTACAAAGAGGGTTCAGCTTAAATTGAGGACGACGCAGCGAGCAATGGAAATAAAAATGGTAGCTGTAATTTAAGAGACAAGAACAGAGCAGAGTGGATTAGGGACAAACGGGGGTTAGGATATCATAGTTGAAATCAAGAAGAGGAAATGGACATGGACCGGGCATGTAGCGCGTAGACAGGATAACCGCTGGTCATTGAAGGTAACTAACTGGATTCCCAGAGAAGGCAAGCGGGTTAGGGAAAGACAGAAGGTTAGGTGGGCAGATGAGATTAAGAAGTTTGCGGGTATAAATTGGCAGCAGCAAGCACAGGACCGGCTTAACTGGCGCAACATGGGAGAGCCTTTTGTCCTGCAGAGGACGTAGTCAGGCTGATGATGATGATGATGATGATGATGATGATCATGCTGATGATGATGAATACTCGTTCCTATATTCGAATTGCTCGAATATTCGCACAAGCCTACAGTTATCATTTTCTGTCAGAGTTTATTCAATTCTGCATCGTAAATTCTCTTAAATTATCGAAGCAGTTCTTGCAGGCATCGAAATCATTACAACAGATTTTTCATGAAACTATGACTTAGCGCAATGTTTATAATAAACAGTCTACTTTATTATTTCATTTTGCGCTAAAGAATTTCATGACGTAAAGTGGCAGGAAATTTCGCCTTAGGAACTTATGACCACTCTCAATTTAGTGTACTCTTCATAAACGAATGGTATTAGGTGAAATTCAGTGGGGTCAGCTGTAATCAGGATAGGTAGGCCTTTTTACACATAGGTAACAAGTTATGAGAAAGAATTCCCGTCATTGCACAAACCTTTACCATTACTCACGGATGATGGGTTCTTTGTGGGCGCCTGTACCTGCATTAGCGCACGCAAAAGCGCACAATCGCTGCAAAGCGAGTGGCCTAACACAAATTAGAATTTTTATAGTGAAAGTATGTATTAGGAGAGATATTTGGGTCTGTATCTGCTGAAAAACATATGATGTTCATAAAAAGTAGGGTGGGGGGGATTTCTATATTATTAATATATACTTTTAAAATGAAGCACCAAGAAATAATGCACATTTGCCGTTAAAAAACAAGTGTTTTCCCTGCTGATGAGATCATGCTTATGAAACATTAAGAGCAAACAGACTATCCAGTCACATTTAGTTTTAGTTTTCTAGTGAAAATAAAAAATGGCAGATTCCACGTACTGTGGGAATCAATGATATGCGAATCACGAATGAGGAAGCTTGATCTGCCTCTTTAAAATTAGCACAACGTTACGAGGTGGACGTTAATTATGCCGTACATGACTTGCATTCTATGGTATCCTATTTGGATGTTTCATTTACCTTCATCGTCTATTCACGTCACGTGATACCAAATTTAGTATCATGTGACAGTTATGTGATGCTAGTGAAACGGACGCGAGCTCGCTAAGAGCGTAGCATTTAGTCATGTTTTACATCGCACGTATGTCATGATTATTACGTTTGGACGTCTCATATACCTTCGTCGTCCATTCACGTCACGGTATATCAAACTTCATATATGGAGAGCTAGCGAAACGGCCATGAGCCCGCTACGAGCGTAGCATGTAGTCATGTTTTACATGACACGCATAGCATGATTATTATGTTTGGACGTGTCATGTACCTTCGTCGTCTATTCATGTCACCTGATACTAATTTTGGTATATGTGGAGCTAGCGAAACGGCCGCGAGCGCATCATGAGCATGGCATGTAGTCATGTTCATACATGACACGCATCTCATGATTATCATGTTCGCACCAGTCATGTACCTTCTACAATCAGTGACGTCCCGTAATACCAAATTCGGTATATGTGACGCTAACAAAACGACCGCAAGCGCACCATGAGCTTGGCGTGTAGTCATGACTTGTCATAACATGAAAATCATGACACGCATGTCATGTCTTCCACGTGAGGGTCTGTCACCTATATTTGCCATGCAGTCATGTCATACCATACCAGCTTTACAAAATGGCATGTGAA